TTACATTCGGAAAAGATTTTTTCTTTTTCAAATTGGATTTTCAAGTCTAACTTAAAAACGGCCAGTTTTCAAGTTTGACTTCGAGTTCAAGTTCGCTCTTTGCAGTTACTCAAGTCAAGTTTTAGAATTAAAGTAAATAAAAAGAAAACTTCTCTTTTTATATAGTATTATTAATAAAGAGACAGTAAGACTTAGGAAAACGCGGATAATTTTAGTTGAAAGTTCAATAAATTGGTTAAATTTCACTTAAAAGACGGCAGATAGAAAAATTTATAAGCATCCATGAGAAAAACAGTGAAAATTTTTTTGAATTTTTCGGTCCAAAATTGAAAAAGTGCCCGTATATCTAAACTCTTTTCAAAAAACAATTGTTGCGCATTGTGTTAACATTCTAATCCCCTAACTTTCATCCATCAGATACTTTGTCATGTGATACGTAGTTTTTCAGATTTTTTAATTTCCCAACTTTCGCTTATTCTCAACTAGCCCCGCTCTACCCTATATCTTTCAAAACGTCAAAGGAGTCTGTGACAACATTTTCATTGATTCAATTACCCCCTCTTGCCTTATTTCGTTTTAATGATTAAAACGCTGCTTCAAAGTCGCTTTTTGTAAGGTTTGAAAAATTTAAAGTTAAATTAGGTGATGTTATAAATTTATCAGTTGGTTTATTAATAAGATAAGGAATTTTATTTAATGAGCTTGTTCTAATTGAAGAAAAAAAACTTGTTGACTTGCATTAGGGTCATCATTTTTGTTAGGGTCACTAAATCGTTTATTTTTTATCTTTATTGCTTTCGATACTATTGTACTTTTCTTACTTTTTTCCCGTGACCTCTTTCATTAACTGCTGAATACGCTTTGAATTATTTTTGTGCTTTGCAAACAATTCGGAATAGTTATTTATTTTCGCACTTTTGCGGAGTTTTTTAAAGTTATTTTTATAAGTTAAGGAGTTTTTTCAAAGTTATTTTTATAAGTTAAGGAGTTTTTTCAAAGTTATTTTTATAAGTTAAGGAGAAAACTTTTAAGAAAGAAAGTTTTTATGATAGATCGATTTAGATTTTAGATATTTAATATATAGTTTTTGTTTCGCTTTCGATGATTTTTTAAGTCCTTTAGTTATCCAAGGACATGCTACGTCTTTGGCGTTAAGGATTATTTCACGAATAGGGAAGTTTGCGCCATAGATTGCTTTAAATGTTTTAAAAAAAGAATCGTAGATCCAATTTTGATTCAGAATTTGTTCCTTGATTTCAAGTTATTGTTATTGTTTAGACGCTTTTTTATAGTTGTTTTAAACAGGAAATCTAATTTATAATTTGCATTTATACAAAAAAAAATAGGAAAGTGATCTGAGACAATTGTTTTAACAATACCTTTTTTAAGCAGCTTATTAAGAAGATCATAGGTTAGAATGTTATCAATTAAAAATAATCATTGATTAGAATGTTATTGAAACTAAAGATTTTTGATTATTAATTTAGAATGTTATCAATTAAGGAATTTTGTTATTCTTGTAGGTTTATTATAGATATTGTTCCCGTTTTAAATGTAAATTTTTTTGTAAATTTTTTTTTTGTTTTGGTTTTTATCATACTCAAAACAGTCCAAATTGAAGTCTATTACTATGTAATATTTTTTCTTTTCTTGATTAATTTTTTTTTGTTAAGTCATATTTTAAAAAATAGCTTAAGTATTCTTAAAAAATTAATTAAAAGTAAAAGAAATCAAAGATTTTTCAGTGTTCAGATTTTTTAGTAGGAGGCCGATAACAACGGCTTAGTAAACGTTTTTAGAATTTTTGTTTATAATTTCAATTATTTGTTTATAATTTCAATTATTGAAATCTCTTGATCTTCATCAAAAACACTCATTTCACGTCTAATATTGTAATGAATATTTTCTTTTATGTAAAAAATTTAAAACCTGGAGATGGAGATTAAAAAGTTAATTTTTAAAAAATTCTTCACGTGACCTGAGTGCTTATCTATTTCAACTCCATTATAAAATGTTAAAAGAACTTTTTTATGGTAATATCTAAAAATAAAAATAAAACTTTTGATTTTTTTATTTTTTTTTCTTATAAATAATTAGTAAATTTAATAGCAAATAATACTTTCATTAGTTATTATTAAAATTTAAAATTTATTGCAATAGTTGTTGCCTTTATAATAGGGGAAAGCGGGGCAACATGGCGAATGGGGCAAGATAGGTTTTCATATAACAACCCAACAAAAAATCTTAAAATTGGTTGAAAACGAAACTGTATTTGCATCTTGTATTTTAAAACACCAATTGGTTTTTTGAAATATTATCAACGCAATTTTATACGCATAAGTTTACTTTTTGCGCTTAAAAAAAATTCCTCACTTTCGGTTTCACATAATGGTGTCCTTCAAGTTTAACTTCTTTAGAAGTAGTTTTTTGCAATTTGTGTTTATTTTGTGTTACTTTAGTTAGAATTTTTGGTAGTTTTTTAAAATTTTATAAAGTTGGAGGTAAAAATTGCATAAAAAGTCATCTTGCCCCGGTCACGTGATCAAATAACAAATTTATGAACTTTTTATTTTAATATTTATTTCAAATTGTTATATTTGCAAACTGAAAATTCATGCTGGCAATGAAGGATTTTGACAACATAAACATACTGAGAAAGTATTATTGCTTCACGGCTGATAGATTTGCAATAACTCAGGGCTTTCAAAACGTTCGCCATGTTGCCCCGCTTTTCCCTATCACTTAATATTTTCTTCCAACATTTTAAAATGGAGATAAAATAAATAAGCCTCGGGTCGCGTTTAGAACACGTTTCCGTTAAACAAAATACGTTAAAAAACTTTTTGTTTCGCAAAATAAATTTGAGAAACTTTCAAAATTTTTTTTGAGATTCCGAATATTTATGTGGATGACATTAAAATAATCTCTTTTTTGTTCCATATTAAAATAATTTCTTATTATATTTGGATAAAAAAAAAGAGTATTTAAACTAAGGCGTATTAATTTCGTTAAAATAATTCACATCATGGTCGTATTCATCGCATAAGTTAAAATAGTTACTAAAATTTAAAAGTTATTAATTATGATTTTCGTCATTTTCTTTAAGGACTTTTAGGACTTATTGGTTATTTTTTTGTAAACCATTTTAGCGTATTTACCTGTAGCACGAATTTCTTTGGCTTCGTAAAGAGTTGCTTACGAATCTTTATAGTTTTTTTGTTGAAATCTTCATTAATGTGCGAACTTGCATAAGTGCAAAGCAAAAAAACTGGCACTAGTGCAAACTCGCATTAGTGCGCCGAACAAATTTGTAAACATTGGCATAAGTGCGAATTGGCATAAGTGCGAATTGTCATAAGTGCAAAGCAGTAACAAATATGAAATTCGTGCTTATTTATCCCACCAGCCTCTCAGAGTTTCATTTTTTTTGTATTTTTCAAGAATTAGTTTGCGGTTCTTAAATGTTTAGAAATTTTACCAGAATAGTTATTCACCTTGTATTTCTTTCTAGTACTGTAGAATTTGGCCAAAAAATAGTGAAACCTAGAAAAAAATTTTATAGAGACATATTATATATCATTAGAAAGATAATTTTATCTGCTTTCTAATGGCGTACCTTGTCACTTTTTTGGAATTGAGCAAAAACAATGGTGGATCAAAATGTAAATGTAGGTTTTTTCATTTTATTAAAAAAATTAACTAAATATAAAACAGTGTTCTTCGATATCATAGCTTCATTATTAAAAAAAGTTCAATTGCCATCATGTTATTGAATGACTGAACAAAAGGAATTAAATATTTCTAAAAGCTTAAGTATTCATTTTATTATAAAAATGAGCTTCTCTTTGAAGTTGTAGCTATTATTTAAAAATTACTTATATTTTCAATGTGTTTGAAACAGTTGTGAATTAAATATTGAATTAGATATAAAAAAAACATTTTGTATAGTTGACTCACAGTGGTCATTTTGGGGGTCAAAACCTGCAGAAAATCTAAAACATTTTTTATGTGTTCAAAAAGAGCCGGTATGAACATATTTGAAGTAAAAATTATAAATAACCCAAAAAATTGCTTTCTTTATTCTTCTTCTGAATCAGAGGCAGGCGCGGATGCAGCATCTTTTGATATTTGAGATACCTAACTTCCAGACACGGAGCAAACTCCAAAAATTTATATGTTCATAGTTATATCAAATAAGGACGCTTTGCAAAAAATTGCAATGATTGGAGCCTGGGAACAAAAAAGCCCTAAAATTTTAGCTACACCTGCCCCAAACGTGAGAGCAACAAGTTGATAAAATATTTTTTCTACTATTCTCAACCAAGTATATATTCATCAACAAAATTTAAAACTCACACAATAATCTCTTAGCGTTCAACAATTATGGCCTTATAAAGTTTGCAACCCCCTCAAATTGAGGGGGGTTCAAACTTTTTATGGTCATAGTTTTTGAACGCTAAAAGATTTTTGTATTAATTTTAAAATTTGTCGATGAATATAGATTTAGTTAAGAATAGTATAAAAATTATTTTATCAATTTGCTGCTCTCACGTTTGGGGCAGGTGTAGCTAAAATTTTAGGGCTTTTTTGTTCCCAGGCTCCAATCATTGCAATTTTTTGCAAAGCGTCCTTATTTGATATAACTATAAACATATAAACTTTTGGAGTTTGCTCCGTGTCTGGAAGTTAGGTATCTCAAACATCAAAAAATGCTGCATCCGCGCCTGAGAGGCATCTCTAGAAATTTGAAGTTCCGGCATCTTCAAGAGTTTCTTGATGGGTTCAGGCATGATCTCTGAGTTGTGCTTCTTTTTCTTGCAGTGGACATAAGCCTAAAAATTATATATAACATTTAATGGATGAAAGAAAATATTGCTATCAAAGCTAAATTGGGAAATTCAAATGAAAAAAGGTCCTGTTTCAGAAATCATTTAAATTAAATAAGCATGAAAAATTATTGAAATTGGAAAAATTTTGGATATGCTTAATTCCAAAATTACCTGTATCTTTGGATCAATGATGTCCATCAGTCTCAAGAAAAGGTTAGACATGCCATTGAGCCAGGATGATTTTCGAGCATGATAAAGACGGATTTTTCGAAGAAATTTGTTGTTAGCCTCTCCTGGTTCCTTATTGGTCATTCCAATTGGAAGAACACAAGCTTCAATGATTTGTTTTCCATGTTTCAGAACCTTGTGAATTGTTGGGGACAACCAGTACCATTTTACATGGTCAAGATAAATCTTCTCAGTCTCTTCACACAGAACTCCAAACTTGTCTGGATCAATGGCATATCCAGATGCAAGGGCAGACCAGAGTGTTCCAAGATTTTCAACCAGTTTGACAGGGACATCACAGATTCTTGCAACAATTTCTAAAAAAGAAAGAAAATATGTAGGAATATACAGGTATCAAGATTTGAATTTCTCCTAATTGACAGCAAAGCTATGATGTGATGCTCATGCAACTTGACAAGACATAATATCTAAAAACTAAATTATTTCTGAATGCTTCCCAAAAAGTTTGGTGAAAGTACCAAAACTTGCAAGTGTAGCTACCTGGGTTTTGAAAAGCTTTGCGAGCAACATTTCCTGTTGTTGTAGTGCCAGCACCTCCATCCCGCCTCTGGTCAACAATTAGACCCAGCTGCTCGCGAAATTCTTGCTTGACTTGTGTCTCCCGATTTGCAACCAGTCTTTTTTCATCAGGGCTCATATGAAGATGGAACTTTTTGACATCTTGGCGATATCCAATGTTGCAAATTGTATCAAAACTCCGCAAGCCAAAGTGCAAGATGCTTATTATTTCGAATTTTTACGCTCGCCGACAATTACGATCGCACGCGCACACATGCTTGCGCGAACTTTAAAAGTCAATAAAATAAGCTCCCGCAACTCCCCGCAACAATTTCATGTGTCATTTTAAAGGTCTTTATTTCCTCTTTTCACCTGATTTGGTCCCAAAAATGTTGGGATTTGTTGGGAAAAAGTTGCAGCACTGTTTTTGACATGTAGTACACTTTTTTTCTGATGTTTGAAAAAATCATTACTATACATAGCAATATAGTTTTTAAATTTTTTTTTTTTACTTTTCTAATATTTTTTTATATGTATTACTAAAATTATTAAACAAAAATTTGAAAATTTTCACCCATTATTTTCTAAGACCTACTTTAAAAATAGTCGTTTTTCAGTAAATTTTTCACTACTTTTTTCCTCCTGTTGTTCTACTCATAGCCAACCTATTTTTACTTCAATTTCTCTTAAACCTCATATTATGGCTCTCCAACTATCCTATTTTTTGATGAATACCATAAATTTAAAAAATCTTTTGATGACACTTTTGGGATTTTCTGCAGATTTTGACCCCAAAAATGACCACTGTGTGACTGTCTTTTTATTTAAAGATAAGATAATAATGGAAGATGAAATTGAAACTGATATATCAAACGGAATAACGTTATGTGTTAAATGCGGAGAAGGTGTAAGAATGCATGATCCTTTAAATCATGTAGGTTCGAAGTATTCTGATTCAAGCAAGAAAAAACATCCCCTGACTTCAATTATAGAGCATGCTATGAAGCTTGATTTAGATACTTAAGTTGATAAGCTCAAACTGAACAAAAGAACAAAAGCAAACACTTATATCCATTTATCATGTATAAATTTTTTAAAAAATCGCTCTCGAAAAAGATCAATGAAAATCGAGACAGAGCGTATTACTAGAGCCAAAACGGAACTATTTGATTTGTGATTGTATCTATGACAGAAAAAATCCAAATCGCAACAAGTTTGAAGAAGTACGTACAAAAAAAGCAGCCATATATTCTTCCACTATCGAAATATGTTGCAATTGAGAAGATCAACTTGCTAAAACTATAGAAGCACGTTTAATCAGTGTGAATGATCTAGTAGCAGCAGAAGGCAGATACCACGTATCATGTAGAGCCAGCTTCGAGAACCCTTTACCAAAATATTTAACATCTGGACGTCCTACTTGCAGTAACAAAATGACATCATTCAATACTATATGTGAATCGTTAGAAAGGGACATAGAGTTGTACACGCTGTCAGAATTTCATTCGAAAATGATGTCAATCAATGATGACGTTTATTCAATAAAAATGACCAAAATGAAATTAAAGGAAGTGTACCGTGAGTCTTTACGCTTTTTCAAAAGAGAAGGCAGAAGCAATATAATTATATTGGACAGTGTTAGAGACATTTTATGTGAAAAATGGTACCAAGAAAAAAGCACAAATGTAAACGAGGAGAGAGAGCGTGTTGTTATAACAGCTGCAAAACTTTTGAAAAATGCCATAAAAAATCATGACCACAATTCAAACGTGTATCCTTCCAAAAAGGACATCCTAAACATTGAAGGAACCCGTATACCTCAATTATTAAAAACATTTGTTAATGAACTAGTTCAGACACCTTTAAAACAGGTTTCAATATCACAAGCCTTATTTTCTGGAACACGTCCCAGGTCTATTATGCCATTACAGTTTGGACTAAGCGTTGCTATCGATAACCGTCTTTCATCAAAATGGCTGAACATACTGCTATCAAAATTAGGATTTGGTGTTAGTTATGACAAGGTATGTTTTATTTTATTAAGTATCTTTTATCAGAATCCCCAGAATCCGGACAATACCGATGTTTATGTAATTTTTTTAAGGTTATCCGTTACAAACAGAATGTTGTAAAGCATGATACTATCGACAAAATCATCTCTGGAGAGGGAACCTCATTTCTTCAATTTGTAGCTGACAACACAGACCATGACATTGCTACTGTTGATGGAAAAAATACGCACCATGGACTTGGATCAATTTCAATTGCAAATGGAAAATTCACAGACGTTTCGTTCAAAAGAAATAAAATTCCTAGAGATAAAAAGAAACTATGGTCAAATATCAAGTCAAACAATGGGATAATGATTAGGCAGTACTACATACCTGACATACCTTCATTAATAAAAACAATATTCAAACCAGTCATTCAGGTTTGTTATGCATATTACAATTTAAAAAAGTATCTACTTCTACCAAGTTTGAAAACTAATTGTTTTATTTAATTTTAGGAAAAAATTCAAGTTCGTTTTATTGATCTTCTATGGAACATTGGCTACCTTTTCAAAAATCCATGCCCAAGTTGGTCTGCCTACATGAGTTCTGCAATAAATAATATTGTAAAACATAAATCTAACATTGCTATACTACCTGTGATTGATTTACACGCTACTAATTTGACAGCCCTATATTCACTACTTTGCTTCATCATTGATCACTCCAAAAAAGTGAATATTACAATGCCATCCATAACATTTGATCAGCAGCTTTACATAAAAGCATACGAAATAGTCTCTACAAAAAACTTAAATATATTTGTTCGTTACGGAGGTTTCCATCAACTTATGAGTTTTCTAGGTTCAATTGGATGTATGATGGAAGGAAGTGGTTTGAGAAGCGCTCTTGAAACAGTCTATGCCCCTTTAACAGTAGGACACATGCAATCAGGAAAAGCATTTTCACGTGCTATACGAGGCCATTTTTTATGTGCATCAGCAATAAATTCACTGATATTAAAGGATTTTTGCGACAACTTGAATGATAGTGAGCAGAAAAATATTTTAGAAATGTATGATTTAGAAGACCCTTGTGTTCAAGAAAATAATGATCTGGCGGTTAGATTCCTAAACTGGTTTACAGAGAAAAAAGATTATCTTTCATTAAACTCATGAACATCATCTTTATGGTTGCATTATGTACAATACGTAGCTGTGGTCCAAGAGTTTATTAGAGCAGAGAGAACAAGTAACTGGTCATTACATATTTCTGCAACACAATAACTATGCAAAAACATGCAGGCTTTACCTTCAGACCATTGATGCCTTACAAATAGAACACCCTCTAATTTACGCACAATACATGGCAGGTAATCACACTGTTAGAAGAACCGAAAAAAAATGGTCAGGAATATGGACTGATCTCGCAGTTGAACAAACTCTGATGAAGTCACTGAAAGGTAGAGGTGGAGTTATTGGTAAAGGCATGACTGAAAATGTGTTAAGGGTGTGGACGAAAACATTGCATCAATTCGCTGAAGTAAGTAATACGATGAGCACTCTAACATCTCCGCATAAATCTGTTGACAAACATAAAGAAATGTATCCTGGAAGAATGAAACGTAATAGTGATGACTTTAAAAAAATACAATCATGGTTTTTTGCTCATAACCCATTCATGGTCGGAGATCAGCTTGTTAGTTTGGACTCTGGTTTAATGGATAATCAGAAAATTATTACCTGTGATCGATCAGAAGAGATAGGAGCATCAATACACAAAGAGCTAAATGGTAAAACCTACACAAATTACTCTTTCAAACAAAAAAATCAAATAACAGCACTCCAGAGCTTATACTCCTGCGTATCTATTCAAGACGAAATTGTTACAATCGACCCATTAACACTTTTTCTAAGATTGATTGTTGTTGTTGAAAGAAAGCCAGAGAATGAAGTGGAGAGTTACTTTCAATATGAGTTATCATCATATCCAACATCCTTATTTAAAGGAGGAGTCATGAGATCCGCGCAAAAGTTAACATTGAAAACATTTATACTCAATAATGTATCACCAGTAAAAGAACCTGTATCAACCAAGATTGCTGATGGGGGCGCATTATTGTGGTGCTGCAATTGGAAAAAAAATGAGTTATTTAGTGAAATTTATCAAAAATACATTAATTTTGCTCAACACTTACAGCTTGACACGATCATTTTTGATGGTTACCAGTCGTCCACCAAAAGCGATTTGGTAAGATATCACAAACAGTTAAAATCAATGATCTCAATCCATGCCCAGCAGAAAGAAGTATTTTCCTAAGTAATTACAAAAACAAAAATGATTTTGTCAGACTTTTAGCATTGAAGTTACAAAACAATGGTTTTAAAGTTATTTGTTGTCCCAGTGATGCAGACACAAGTATTGTTAAGCTAGCACTTGAGATTAACAACGTTGAATCAGTCACAATTTATTCGGATGACACTGATATTTTATGTCTATTAATACATCATGTACATACTAGAGCAAAACCTCAAGGCATTTTTTTAAAAACGTTGACACGAAATAAGGCTACAGATCAAAGAGTATGTTATAAAATTCAGAATGTTGTAAATACAAGTGATGAAACTCTTTTAAATTATGTATTATTTGCACACGCATTCACTGGGTGTGACACAACATCAGCAATCCATAACTTCGGCAAAACCACAATTTTTACGAAGTTAAAAAATTCAAATGAATTTATATCTACTGCAGATCTATTTTATCAGGAAAACATTTCTACAGATGATATTGGCAAGGGAGCTATTCGTTTTTTTGAGCTGCTTCATTCACCTTGTTTCAATCTACAACAGATCAGGAAACATAAATATGATAAAACGGTGGCATCTGATCGTGCAAGTATTAATTCTGCTCTATTACCACCATCACCAAGAGCTGCATATTATCATGGACTCAGAGTTTATCACCAAATGAAAGTATGGAGAAATTTGAGTGACGTTGATTTAGATCCATTGAGTTGGGGATGGGTAATACAAAATCAAATGTATGCACCAATTATGACAGATATAGAAGCAGGTCCTCAAGATATTTTGAACATTATCAGATGTGGCTGTAAAGGTTCGTGTGGAAATAAATGTACTTGTCGTAAAGCTGGATTAAATTGTACATCATCTTGTAAAGAGTGCCATGGCGTAACATGCACTAACAGTAATATTAATATTCCAGAAGAAGACATTGAAGAGGAAGAAAGACATTTTCTAGATGCTTTTGAGATATGAAAGATTATTTTTATATTAAAAATGTATTTATATACAATTTAAAAAATATATATGGTGTCAGATTATTTTGTATTTTCTTATAAATATTGAGTTATTTGAATGAGGATC